AAATAGTTCTTGCATTTAAATTGTATTCAATTAAGATTTAACTTGAAAATTAATGTATATAATTACTGAAAGAATTAGTTTTTTGTAGCGTAGTTTACGTGAAATGAGATCACTTGGGGTCACGGGAGATCAACGGCGAATCAGGATGTTGTACCATGAAAGCATAGTAAATTCTTAATAATGTCTTTTTACAAATTATTGTCTTTATTTATTTGCTTTTTTACAAAATTTAAACCATATTAAAAGTTATTGCCTTCCCAATAAAAAATCTTAGAACTAACATTATAACATTTTTTGTACTTTTCCGTTTTCGCCGGCGCAAATATCGCCAAGCAGACTTTTGGCGACAACTACATATACACATAAAAATGTTAGTTCTAAGAATTCTTTTTTCAGTCCAAAGGGATTTGAATCCGAAGACTATTAGTTTCGTTTGGGCATTTTGCGTCGGACTCATAAATGTCGGTTCACTTTTCAAACTGTTGCCACAAATGTTAGAGTCCTGCATTATATTTGAAGAAATTAAATAATGAAAAATCTGCTAAATGTATGTTATTTCTCGTATTGTGATAAAACAACGGTACATAGAGTCTCGAATTTGAATAACGTAATCCTCCAACGACTATGGCTTGTGGAAGACCAAATTTGAAATTTGAAATTTGTTTTATGATCGATTTCCTATTTTTTAAAACTTTGACGAATTTTTGATTAAAAAACTCAAGGATTTCAAAGCGAGCAATGGCAACGTTGTGCAGAAAAAACATTTTATCTCCAGCGCGTGAGTCTCTGTATCGGAATTCTAAAGATATGCTCGTTTAAAACTATTTTGCGATATGCTGTTGCACTGGATTTATGGTTTAAGTGAGAGGAACTGATATTTAATAAAGAAAGGTAACACCAAAATGTTAAAAACGCCCTTTGGACGTATTTAAATCTGAAACATTTCAGATTTTTTTTTTTTTTTTTTTTTGTAAGGCATAAACATTTTAATATCGCTTAAAAAACTTTATAAAAAGCCAATAAATAAAGACAATAAATTTGTAAAAGACATTAATTTAAGAATTTACTATGCTAATGGTTTTTTCAAATCCTATTTCGCCGGTTCATATAACGTGACTCAAGCGATCTCATCTCCCCGTAAACTACTCTAAAAGTCTAATGCTCTGTAATTATCTACATAATTTCAAGTTAAATCTTAATTTGGAACGCAAGTTTAAATTGCAAGAATATTTCAATGCGTACGAATAGCTTCCTCAAATTATGTAAACTGCAGTGCTTACTTACTAATGCATTCTCATTGATTGATGAATTTAACCTTGACTTTTCTTTTCTATATTTTCGGTTCGGGTTAAGCGCTGTGATTGCATCCTAATTGACTTAATTGCCACCCGCGAATGGCCTTAGGACATAAAATGAACTATCGGTAAACATTCTACATGTAATGTATGCATTGAAAGAAACATTAATTGTTAAGAAAGGCTGCGAATTGTTTTGAAATGAGGGTAAAGTTACCAGCGAGAATATTCCGTTTGGCATCGGTTGTACCATTATTGGCGACTTTATCGCTTGCGCCGGCAAAACGGAAAAGTACCCGTTTTTTATGTGTGTCGCCAATAAAGTTTGCTTTGCGAGATTTGCGCCGGCAAAATGGAAAAGTACCTTTTTTTCGAATACTTTACTATGCGTAAAATACGTTAAAATAGCGTTTTTCAAGATGGTTGACGATTGTAAAAACCGCGCCAACGTAAATCGCCGAAAATCCGTGCAACCGTCTACCAAAGTAGTACTCAAAATATACTTACAACAAAATCTGAAATGTTTCAGATTTTAAATTACGTCCAAAGGGCGTTTTTTAACATTTTGTGTGTTACCTTTCTTTATTAAATATCATGTTCCTCGCACTTAAACCATAAGATCCAGTGCAAAGCCAAATCGCAAAATAGTTTTAAAACGAGCATATCTTTAGAATTTCCGATTACAGAGACTCACGCGCTGGAGATAAAAAAATGTTTTTTCTGCACAACGTTGCCATTGCTCGCTTTGAAATCCTTGAGTTTGTTAATCAAAATTCGTCAAAGTTTTAAAAAATAGAAATCGATCATTTAAACAAATTTCAAATTTCAAATTTGGTTCTTCCACATGCTCATATTCGTTGGAGGATTACGTTATTCAAAATTCGATGACTCTATGTACCGTTGTTTTATCACAATACGAGAAATACATACATTATGCAGATTTCATTATTAAATTTTTTCATTTAACATTTATTTATTCTCATAATGCAGGACTCTAACATTTTGTGGCAACAGTTGAAAAGTGAACCGACATTTATGAGTCCGACGCAAAATGCCAAAACGAAACTAATAGTCCTTCGGGATTCAAATCCCTTTGAACTAAAAATATTGAGGTTACATAATAACTTATTAACTCTTTCTTACTCTATCTCCACGTAATAAAAATCTATCCACTCTTTTTTCGACACTCTCTCAGCAATGAAACTTTTTATTAATTATATATGAGCGGCGCAGCGCCCTCTATAGCGCTTTCCACAGTGGGATGCTTTTGTTAAAATTTTCGAAGCTCACCACTACATAGAGTTTAGGTACACAGTTCTTATAACTCAACTTTAAGTAAATAATATTATCTGTTGCCATTTGACAAAATCAAATCCTAATGGTTAATTAAACTCACTTAAAACTTTCATTTTCGACGCAGAATTTAAAAGGCTAGACTCGTTTTTATTTTTATTTGCCTTAATGGTATAAGTATTAATACTACTATGTTGTTTCTAAATCGCTAATTTATTACTTTGATCAGGAATATAGGATTATAATTCAAAAAATAAATTTAAAAAGCTTGCGCAGTACAGACAGGGCTTTTTAGAATTGGTAACTTGGTAAGCTGAGTGGATAATTAATCCAATGGGGCAAAAAAAGTGAATCGAAATTTTCATGCGACAGAGTGAGGAGAAAAATGATAAGACTAAACTATAAAAGTTTATGTTATCAACATTAACATTAACACTGAAAGCAATGAACCAAGTTGTGGACAAAATTTGATTAAAAGTATAAACGTTTATAATTTGTTTTGTCATTTACTGTGCGTTGAAAACAGTGCAATACTACAATATAAATATCTCACATCAAAATAACTAGCTGCTTTAAAACAATAGAATATAATGATATTACATATTGCTATGCATATCTGTAGTATATTACTCTATATAAATTTTTTTTAAATTATTAGATCCAAAATTTTTAAAGAAAAAAATTTAACGAAGTTGGACCTGCCTAAAAGGCTGAAGAAAATTTAATTTCCGCTATATATGTAGATAACCCCTCAGTTTAAAATATGTTAAGATGAAAAGAATATCGGAGTTGCCATGGCAACACGCAACTTCCAGACCTCTGAAAAACACAAATCAGACGATAGCAAACAAGAAAGAAATATTCTGGGAAAAGAGTTTTTTTTCTTTTGGCAACTCGTTTAAAAACAGACGGCGGGGGGAGCAAACGTCTCGAAATTAACAGGTTTAAGGGCTAAAATTCCCTCCAGATATTGGCGGGTATTGTTTACGTCTCAAAAGCATATTTTTTCTTTCTTCGAAACGGATTAATCTCGTTTCGGTACCTCTTAAGTGATGGAATCGGCTGGGGCGTCCAAAGTAAACTGTGATAAGGGATTTGGGGGTAAATATTAAAGATCTGGATTTGAGAGCAAAATTGCAGGGCTTTTAGAGATAACTTATCTGCTAACATATATTACAGTAAATATATTAAATATTCATGATATTTGTAAACAAATTTTAAAAGGTATGTTTTTGATTATTAAATAATCATGTACAAATATTGCTTGAAAACAAACGCCTCAAAATCTCTAAATCTGAGCAGGATAAAAATTGAGGGAAAAGGAAGATAGAAATTAATTTTTTGAAATTCCGTAAGATGATTCATATTTCTTCTGGTTCAACTGTTGTGTTCTTAGGCTCGGTGAAATGGTGTTTAGTGACGGATGGAATCGAAAACTTTTCTTTCTGATAAATTTCGGGGGGGGGGAAGAGGGGTAAGGCCTAGTTGTTAACTTTTGTTTTATTTCGTTATACAGCTAATCCTTACTGAACGCGGGTGTTGCATCATTAGCACATTACGCGCATGACAAAATCACATTCCGCAGAGTTAACGTTCTATGGAAAAAATGGGTTATGTAGAGTTCAGATTAAGAAAATATGTATAATTCGTACAAATCTAAATATTATTGCAGTTAGAGGGGGTTGAAACAAATGTTAATTAAAAAAATTTATATTAGTACTTAATAAATAAGGATATGATACAGATACATTTTTAGATAGCTGGTAATTTTTGCTTGGGGCAATGTTTAATGCGATATATTAAACATTTCGTGGCAAGGAGTGCAAAAACTTTCAGTAACTTTTATAAAGTATCCTCTTCTTTCTTCATTTGAGTCAATCTCCGTTACAAAAGCAGACAGTTCAGGTGTCCTTTTTTTAAACAACTGGTTTCAGTTCTTGTACGTTAAAGGCTCTTTACCTTGTTCACTATGACTGTTTCCACCGTCTGTTGGTGTTTATCACTTCTTCATTTGTCATTTTCACGGTAGTCATCCTCGACTAATTCTTCAATTTCTCCTTGTTCCATATGTGGAAATGCTTTGCCACCTATCGCTTTTGCAGTTTTATAGTCACCAATAGTAGTCACCACAGACAATAGTCACCTATAGGAAGATGCAGGGTTAAATAGCTACTTTCACTTCAGCGGCCCTTTGCTCTCGTAATAACCAGAGATTTCCGGACAGCTTCCACAGATGCACTCAATGTTTTAGTAGGCCTGCTTTGAGCAAGAGGCAGTGTTAGCGCTACTACTCTATCTACAACAGGAAGTTACCTACTATATTTCACATTCGCACCAACAGAGTTTGCCTTACGAAGTACTGCTGTAGAGACATTAGGTTATTTCGAAGCAGTATACATGAAAAATGAGCAATGCCTTCACCAGGACTCGAACCTTGGATCTCTCGAATACGCATCGAGCGTGCTGACCATTACACCATGAAGGCAGGCTAAGAAGGCGGGAGAAACACCTTATATAAACTAAACTAAACTCAGGGGTACAACAGTCCTAGTTGACCAAGGCCTGGCCTGCAGTGCCCGAAATTCTGCTTTCTTGACCATGGGCCCCAGAGTGCGGGAGCATATGCTCTGAACAAGTGGTCAGCTTGCCGCAGGATCCAAGGTGTTTAGTCCCCAAGCGAACTTCGTACTCATTTTATCGACCCATTCAAGGGATGAAAGGCTGAGTCGACCTTGCCTAGTCCGGGGATGGAAACCTGGACCTGTGGTGCTGCTGCGCAACGCGCTAGCTACTGCGCTACCGGGCTTCAATACCTTATATACTCCCCATTTTAAAGAGGACTGGAGATTAGTAGACCCATTTGCCAAATCCTGGGTATGGAGAATCATCATCCACCACCTCTTTTTTTTTTTTAATTCGGATGTCACTGTAAAGACATTAGGTTATTTCGAAGCAGAACACATGAAAAATGAGCAATTGTCCTTGCCAGGACTTGTACCTCAGACCTCTTGAATATACGTCGAGCGTGCTGACCATTGCACCACGAAGGCATGCTAAGAAGGCGGAATATATAACTTATACTGCAACTCGCACCCATCCAGCAGATGGAGGAAAGGACATACTGGCACAGCACAGCACTCAGAGTCGACTTCAGCTATCTTCAAGGTTAAAATTCCGACACAGGTGTAAAAAGCCCTCTAGTCCATGTCTCCAAATTCTGTAGAAATATGTACCACTGGAAAGGAGAGCTTTCAGAACATACAGCGTCTTCCAAGTGGAGGCCTTAGTCTTGAAGCAAGCAGTCATCTATGCCATTACACAGAATCTCTGAATTATACAAATAATCTCAGACACCCAATCTGTGCTAAAAGCGATCCGCAACACTTCACTTTCCTCCCACCCAGCGAAGTCCATCGAGCAACTACTTCGCCACAACACACATTTGAACTTCACGTTTCAATGGATCAAGGTAGATGCAGGACATACGGGGAATGAGCTCGCTGATTCTCTAGCCAAAGAAAAGGCTTCTAATATAGGCGCAACCAAGTGCCACCCCCGGTAGCAAGATATTATCTAAAGCGCCGTTTTTAGAACATCTCTCTGCAATAATGCAAACGGAATGGGATAATAGCGACAAAGCGGGTCTTATGCTTGATTTTCTCCCAAAAGTCTTAATAAGTAGGCTTTACTCCACGCCACAGCTTACCAGATAGTCGACACAGTCCACTCTCTGAGTATTTCTTCACTCGAGCCATTACGAACTCAGAACTATGCGTAGCCCTGACCACAACATCACGAAATGCCCACTAACCGAAAGGCTCCATATCGGAATACCTTCACCAATATCAGTCCATTCAGGCGTTTTATATTGAGAGCTCCAGCCCCACGACAGAGAATCTACAACATTGTTAACCTACTAATGTCATCAGGACTGGATACTGTGACCACGAATTCAGTAAGATCTCTGTCAATATTCTTCATAAAATACATCTATAGCCTTTGTACAAGCAACTGTACTCCGCCACCAGTGACAGTCAGAGAACTAGTGCCAGAAAAATGCAACAGTAATATAATAATTAATTAATTAATATATTCAAGCAATGATGTATTTACGCATTCCATTTTATACGAATTTAGATATTCAAGTGTTAAATTATCGCATACAAGTAATGAACGCATTCAGGAATTAATGTATTTACGCATTCAATGCAATCTATAGTACTCAAATATTTTATATATCTAAGAATTAATGTATATATGTATATAAGTTTTAACAACTGTACTGAAGTACTTACACAATTAATGTACCTAGGTTGATGTATACAAGGTACTTAAGTGTTTTTATTGCAATCAAGGGCGTTAGATATATACCTATTTACCTTCGTTAGACACCAGGGGTCCCGGTCCGGTACTATTCCTTTTTAGGGACCGTAAAAAATTGCAGCGAAAATATATGTGCAAAAGCGCCAAATCCAGCAAACGCGCCTATTTAACCGCGCGCCAAATCTAGCAAACGTGCCAAAGCGCGTAAAGTTAGATAGTTTTATAAGTCGCCATTGAAATACTAGTTTAAATTTTTAATTATTTTCTAATAATGCTATGAATTTAACAATTTGGGAATTGCCCAATGACGATAATTCTGCAATAGAATTTTTTTCAAAGAACAAGCAACATTTATGATAGAAAATTATGTTCGAGCAACCACGAGATGAAATTATGCATTAGAGGTAACTCAGTAGCGAAATGGCGGCACAGAAAAGAAACTTGTAATGAGAAGAAAGGATTAAGAAGTCAAAATTGGTTCGAAGGATCGAAAATCTCCTTCTTACAACCGTTAGTTTCTTCTATTTTTGGAGTCAGGAGATGACATCTATTGAATTTTGTGAACTCCAGCTAAGGATGAATCACAATACAACTGCAGACTGGAACAGTTACATGCGTGAGGTGTCTGCCGCAACTTTATTTACTCGGACTAACTTGAAAATCGACGGATGGGGCAAAATTATTGAAGTAGACGAAAGTCTTTTCAGGAGAAAAAAGAATAAAGTTGGACGGGTTCTTCCGCCACAATGTGTTTTGGGCGGATCATACAGAGAATCGAATGAATGTTCTTTCTTAATCGCTGTTCCAGAACGATCGGCGAAAACTTGAATGAACATCATAGAAGAAAATATCGCGGAAGGAAGCATTATTTATACTGACTGCTGGAAATCATACAAGTCGGATGAACTGCAAAATGCCAGTTTTGACTGTCAATCACAACTACAATTTTGTGGACCCCGAATGTGAGTGTCATAAAGAAACAGTAGAGCAGCTGTGGGGCAGTGCTAAATGGCAAGTCGCACTGCTCGACAGCATTTTGATTATGATTTGTCCGAGTTTATGTACAGACACTTGCACAAAAAAATTGAATTATTCTCTGCTATGTTGGAAGAAATAAAAAAATTTATACCTCCCGTTTACTTTCAGTTACGTTTATCCTTTTGTTTATAAATTATAATAACAAAAAATGTAGTTACATGAAATTAACCTTTCATATAACTAAAACAATAATCTTAGATAGTTATTTACTACTAGAAAGCCTGGCGGTTATACGAAATAACCGCTGTTCTAGATATTATAAATTGTAATTAAAATGATTTGTGCAAAGGGTCTGCTAATTCAAAATGCATTACTCAGGGCAGGCGGCGAGGACGCCCCTTTGCTTACTGCCACACGGGGTTTTCCCCTTCTACTTGCTTAATTGCTTAAAGTAGAATGCAATGAAGGTAACCACTGGCAGTACATTTCTTAAGAGCCACCGCTAACTCAATAAATAAAGGTGATATAAATAATAAAATGTTAGTTCACATGTCAAAGATCTCTGTACACAACATTTCTTGTGTAGATCTTTCCATTATTTTTAAGCTCGCCTTGCAGAGGACCATTAATTCGTTTTAATTTTACGTCCGTTCTTTCACGAACTCTTGAACAGACAACATAAAGTTGACCGTGTCTAAATGCAAGCTCAGGTAAGAAATGCCAACACACTTAAGCGTTTGGCCCTGAAACTTATAGATGGTCATAGCAAAGGCAAGTTTTACAGGAAATAGTCTACGTCTCAATTGAAACGGCAATCCTGTGCCGTGGCAACTTCATCCCATTGGCTAGTACAGTTACACAAGCAACCAATAAACTATCGCGACAAACAGACACTTAAGCTGCATATATATATATGGGGTGAAGTAACATCATCTCATCCGAAACGGCTGGCTCCCGGGCTTAGCGAAGCACCACCGTTGGATTCCGGCAGGTCCGTGGCACGCCATTTTGACCATTCCGCGTCTTCGTTGGGACTATTAATTGGCCGAGATATTAATTAAAAACTAATTTTCCCCACCCCCTACGTTTTCCCTACATTTTCTACTTTCGTTTCTTAGGGTTTTCCCTATTACAGAGGAATTTGGCTACGTGCCAAAATTTTTTTCTCGAATATCTACGGAATGGCGCCGCCGAGTTGAAATTCGAAGACGCCTATCTCGGATTCCAAAAAATTCTCCGAACCCATTGATACCGTTCTCATCTTCGTACGACTTTAATTGGCTGAGATAATAATTAAAAACTGCGGAAACGTTAATTTCCGCGCTCATTTTTTCGAGTGGCAACTATGGGCGACAAACACTTAAGCCGCTTATATATATATATATAAAGATTATGTTTCCATTCTTGCGTTAGGGTTAACGTAATTATTTTTGGCAGCATTGCCATCAACAGTAGTTTGGCGATTTTTTACGGCCCTTATAACGGAATTGTACCCCCAGTCCTTTGTTACCTGTCACCTGTACTCAAAATTTCAAATACCATTTTTTTCATGTTTCAAAGGAATAATTAGAGATGAAGAGATTGTTCGGAAAAATTACTACGGGAGCTTTATTTTCATAACTTTGTTCTTAGATATGTAATTCCAGTTACACAGTTTCTAAAGAAGTTCGGATTTCTATAAAACTGACTTAATGTTGTTCGTGGGGAAAGTTCTGCAAAAGTAAAATCTAAGTTCTTCTGCGGGAGTTGTCCTAAATTCTAATTAATAAAGGACTTAATATGTTTCATTCCATTTAAAACAAAAGCTCCATGAGCTTGAACGCAAAATTCCCTGACGTAAAACTTGTCGCTGAAAATAAAATGGCCAGACAAAAATTTAATAAGAAATGGAGTTTTACTCAAAATGAAACTCACTGCTAGAATGAGGAAGTTTTAGCTGCTCCCTACATTTATTCTAAATCGCTTAAATCTGAATAGGAAATAAAAACGAAAAAATTACCTGAATGAACTTGTTCTAAAATATCTCTGCCAATTTTACATGAAAAAAATAATACAAAAATTAAAATACAAAAATGATGATTAAAGTACTTTTTGCAATGAATAGGAGTACAGCAGTACAATTTAAAAATATAAGAAATGATGCATTAATCTTTAACATAATATACAATACTTTATGGTAAAGTT